AAACAACCTAGAGATATAGAAATTACGCGTTTTCTCTTCTCCATATTTAAACAATGTTAACTTTCATCTGCTGCTGTGTTTTTATATTCTTTGACGAAATGATGAAACGGCTACACCACGCATAGAATAAGAATGTTGAATGTGTTCGTGTTCATACAAATACTGCTTTCTAAGGCAACAGCAACGCTACTCACCAGTTACTGTAATATCGACGCCACCCACTAGCTGCCCCCCCGATTGACTCGTAAAGCTGAGCGTGTGTTGCAGGAAGCATTCGCCTGCAGAACAGAAACAGAAAGAAACAAAAACAAATAGAAACACCAGTATACAAAACAATATATATGAATGCTGAACGCTGCGACTGATGGCTTTGTTTATCAACATTCCCGCAGTAAATTTCAATAAAAAAACTTAAAAACAACTAAAGAGGAAAAAAAGGAGTTTCATGTTTCACTAAACATGTTCATGTTGCAAAATATTCAATATCCTTGTTTCCTCCTGGATATGTTGCATAAGATACACTTATACTACAACGGCGCAGTTACTTTCTAACTATATTTAATATAAATATTTCAAAAGCATAGTTGTATTCATATATATATATATATATATATATATATATACATATATATATAGAAAGCGGCGAGGCCTCGATATCTCACCGTCATCACCGCTGAACGAATCTATCACACTGCTGAGGAGTGACCCTACATTAGCAGTAATACTTTGTAGATGCTGCGGCGCAAATTCAAAAGCACAGGACGAGCAGAGCTTATATAAAACCTAAAAACAAGATGAAATTCACGAGTTCAAGAGATGCTGCCTGGTGTATATGCATATGAAAGGATAGGGTGCAACCACTGCCATAGTGATAGCGAGCTTCGGTGGTGGTGTTGACTTACTCTACGTCCTGGCCAGCCCATACAGCTTTTCTGCAAGCAACAACACAAATACAGAAAAAGAAAACGAGAAAAAGATAAAATGTTTATCGAGGCTCGGTATCTCTGTTGTCAGTCTGCCACTAACTGCAAAAAATGTTTAATATAACCTCACCACTTCCACTATGGTGAATTCAAAGA